GGATCCCAGGATTAGCTAAATCTTGCTAAAATTATAGTTTTCAAAGGAGGAATCTGGACATAAACAGAAAATTTGGTACAGCATTCTTTGAGCTGAGTATTTTCAAGCATGGGGTGGGTGGAGGAGATTTAAGGCTCAGGAAACACAGAATTTATGGCAGTAGACATAAAGGAAGGAGGTGTAGGGGGCTGCATACCACTAAAAATATGCTCTTTTAAAAAATCAGAATATTTTTTCTTCTTTTCCTTTATTTTTTTTCCTCTTGATAAGAGTTTTACTTTTGGCATTAAAGCATAGGAAATTCAGGTGTTTCTACAAAAAAATAGAAGACCCATATAGATGTAACTCAAAAAAATGAAAAACCTGCTTTAGTGTTTTCATCTATTTCCTGTTCAGTAGGACTTTTAGCTATTAATTTACCTTGGGGACTAGTCTAACTCATAAAGGCATACACAGTGAGCAGACAATTTGCTGAGGTGGGTGAGATGAATCAACTCATGATGGGACCGATTTCTTCTGCTAACTATAAAAAGTACTGATAATTAAACTAGGAAAGATACCTCATGCTTAGGTAGCTACTGTTAAATGACAGGAATCCCACATGAATGACAAAATCAAGCAGCAAAAAAAGCAACATTTATTATTGAGAATCATCTGTGGAGGCATCAATGCTTAAAGGGCATCTCTCAAAGGACTCTCTCCTTTTGTCACTGGAATTTAAATCTCTTTGTGTACTGGACAAGAGAGCACAGTACTGCCATGTTTGGTAAAGTGATAATAATTCCTCTGCACTAAAAGGTTAGAGCAGTGCACAATTTTTAGGAACAATCACTGATTCTAAGGGAGTAACTTTGTTTAAAAATTGATGGCGGTGCTATGTGACCCATTTTTTTCCCAGGGCAGAGAGAGTCCAGTGATTTTTCTACCATCTGTGCTATCAAAAAGCACTTGGAGCCAGGGTCAGTTAATAAGGAAGACAGGGCTCATTTGTTCTTTCACTTTTTGAGATCATCAGGGAGTCTCATCTCCTTTTCTCTTTTTCAGGATGGTCCTGTTCATATATTTGGAAGATTTTACTCTTTATCTCAGTCTAGAAATTTAAGGCATCTATTAAAACCCCCAAACTCACATCCACCCCCCATTTAGAAGCAGACTGATTTCTGAACATTGCTAATTATAGAGGAGGCAAAATGTATTGGAATGCAGTGCCATGTGCTGGAATATTAACAGAGTAGACCTAAATTATTTAAAGTAATTGTCCCCCATGTTTTCCATGCCATGGGAAACAATACTTAGTTAATAACATGGTATTTGGAACATGCTTGCTTGCACAAGGGGTTGGGTATTACATAACATTTGTTTATCCAGTGGAGCTTTGCCATTTCTGTAAATCTGGGAGAACTTCAATTAAGGAAGAGTAAGGATGTAAGAAAGGTAACCTTTGGAAACTGTGAGACCTCTGCTCTGTGCTTTTCTGGCAGCAGCAGTGTTGGTGCTGCAGACAGAGCAGCAGCACGTAAGGGCTGTACTCAGGAATGCCAGTCCCTCTTCCAGCAGCTCCACCACTGGAGCCCTCTTTGACCTCCAACACCAAGTACTTCCTCTTATATAATCATTTTAATATTTATCTTCCTCTGTGCCCTTGCTGAGCCATCTTACTTATCTTTTCCTTAACGATAGTGACATCTTATTGAGTGCAATGAGATGAGGAGTGTCAGGCAGGCTCTCAGGACTCTCTCGAGGAAAGCTGATTGTGCCCTTCCTTCTTTCCCAGTCAGCTGAAGCACAGAGCTTTCCAGACCCAATTCCCAAGCCCTTAGAATGGCATTTCTACCAGGACATTAGATTTCTCACCATATTAGCCAAGTTTAGGAGAGGGCAGACAGCTTTGGATGGATAGACATCAACCCAGGCCAACTGCCCTGCAAGCAGGTCCTGGGTAGGCAGACAGGCTGGGCGCCCAGTGTCTAATTTGGTTGTGCCCACCAAAACCTTACTGTGAGATGGAATGCCATGCTGGAGGAACCTGTCTCTATGTGTGACTGTGGGGAACACTGCTAGGAGGGCAGAGCTCTCATTTTTTGTGGCTTCAACACCTCTTCAAGACTTTGCTTCTGTGTCTGCCCTCTGTTCCTTCTTGTGTCCCCACAGCTCCTCTTCTGTCCCTTGCTTCCCCTTTGCAGAAGCAGCCTAGCAGTTACTCAGCCTGACTACTCAGCCCAGAGGCAGCAAAATTCAATTTATCAGTTCAATTAATTCAGTTAATAAGCAAAATTCAACAGATCAGAGAACTGGCACTGCAATCAGCATCACAATCCATGTTACTAAATGGAGTTCCTTCGGTGAAGGGGACGTGCCATTGTTATTTCCATGCTCATATTTTATTAATATGGAAGAAACTGTTAAGGGTATTATTAAATTGGAATCTCATATAATGGGAAGTGTTCTGGAAAGATGCTGGCAAAACTTACAAAGTTTTGCTCATTTCTCTCAAAGCTTTCACAGCTTTCAGTGTGGCTTTTTCACAAAGCTAAACTTAGAGGATTAACGCCGCTCTCCTCATGGTATTCTGTTTACCAAGGGAACTTTGGTCAAAGGGAGAAAAGTGGACAACTTCAGACTTTTCATGTCAGTGCTACTTACAGAACAAATATCCATTGGCAGGGCAAGAGCCAGAAGAAGAAAAGCAGCTTTCTACCTATTGTGCAATAAATCAAAAGGTTCCAGTGAATTTCTTTGAGTGTTAGCAAAATTGCTTAATCAAGGATTTCAAAGGGTGATCAAAACTGTTTTCAGTTATTCCTGACTTGCACTTGTATCATTCCAGACTGAGCTGAGTCTTTTTCCCTAGTACATTCCTTTATTTAAAGGCAATAGAAAGAAGAGAAAGCAGTGAATTTCAATTATCAGAATCTTAATGTGTGGGAAATATGACTTCAATTCTTCCTCTGGAACATCTGAATAAGAGCAAATAATTGCAAGTTCTTCACCAATAAAAAGCAAAGGAAAAAAGAAACAATAAGAGAACATTTTCAGAAATTGGATTTTCATTATCTGCAGTAACACAGGAAGCTTATCTATGGCAAAGAAAGCCAGTCTGATTCTAATGTGGCATAAATATTTGCATGATAATAAGGTAATGTATTTTAGATTAAGTCAATGTATTGCTCACAAAGAAAAAGAGACAGCTGTGGCCTTCCTTGGTAAAATATGACTTTCTGGATGTGACTTTGTGCATCTCAGGACTCTGCTGCTGGTTTTCTTTGAAAGGACATTTACGGTTACAGTGCAATTACAATTGGCTACAGACTCATCCAAATTCTGAGGGTGGCAGAATAGGGATGCAAGAGCTGCTAAAAACCTTTGATCTTTAGGAATAAGTGAAAAGTCCCAAAAGAGAACACAAAATATGCCTGGCTGTCTAACTGTGTTGTATTACTAACTCTTAAGGTCTGAAAATTAAAAGGGTTTGTGAAGCACCAAGTGTATAAATATATGAACCAAAGAGTTTTAGTAGAGAAATTATTCATTTCGATCCCAAAATGAACTAGGTGCTGAACTTTCAAAGATCTCTTTCTTTTCAAATGTGACTAAAAATTCCAAGGCAGTGGCAAACTGTACTGGTTCTACGGCAGTGGAATCAAAGGGAACAACACAGTGCACTGACAGCACCGATCCATTATTGGAGTAAATGCTGATTGCTCAAGTGAAGGGGTTAACAAAACAAAACAGCTGATCCTCAGCTACTATAAATCAGTTCTGTGATGTTTATGGAAGTAAACACTGTTTACAGCAGGTGAGGCTCTGGATATCCTTCCATAAATAATAAACTGTTTTCTAAGGAGAGAAAAATAATCCCCTAAAGTGCTGAAGACGAACATATTAAAAGGATCACTGAATATTTACTTTCCTTGATTCAGATTTCTCTGAGAATTTAAGAATAACAAGTGTTTTTAAGGACTACTTTGAATTGCCTCTTTAAATGTACTTCTGCTGGTCCAGGACAGATGGCTTACCTTGCACAGCCAGAAATAATGTGGGTGTACCAAGTATCTTATGTTCTACATAAATAGCCTCTAAACAATTGCCAATAATCTAGAAGTATGAAAGTCTGAAATTGTACATGGGATCAGAGCACTTGCCCCATCCAGACAAAAAAACCCAAGTCACTTGCAGAGTAGAAACCAGGAAAAACATTGTTGATGTTGATGTGAACATTGTTCACATCCCACTTTATAGATCAGCAAGAAAAGGAGAGCATCATTCTTAGCACTCTCAAAATTTAAATGGGCATAGTATCCAAACATAAGGCAGAACAAAAGGCCTAGCCAGTGAATGAATTTTAGTAGGTTAATCAAAAGCAAATTTAAAAGCTGAGGTGAAGTTATGTTCTCTGTTGTGTTGAATGGATGTGGTGCCACAGATTCTTTAGTCCTACATTTAGAAATCAGCTCTCTTTCATGGAAGCATCATGCCATGGAAGATTGGCTGTGGAAAATGCTGGGCTTTCCTACACATGGCTGGATTTTACAGTATGTGGTTGGGCTATATATGGAAAAATATGCCCACAGTCTGCATTCAATGGACAAGAGAATTATTATGGTAACTACAGAGTAGAAAGAAAGAAGTTAAAGAGGAAGGGAAGAGGCTGACAAGGAAAGTTGAATGAATTTCTTTCTTTCCCCAGAGTGCCAGGCTCTTATTTCAGCAGCTGTCTGCCACTCTGAGCCTCTCTTGGCTCGCTTGCCCGCATAAAAACTGTCAGCAATAGCCCAACTGACTTCACACAGAAAAAGGTGAATAAAAAATGACTGGTATGCTGAGAACTATTTTTGAAGGGATTCTATAGGGCAGAAACAGGCAAGGTGATTCAACTCAGCCAGAGAGGGAAAACTGAGGAGATGGGGTGCTATGTATTTTCAAAGGTTTAAAAACAAACTGCAGCTTTTGCCTACCCATTTTATTCCATATATCTCATATTATTTTACAAGGAGACAGTATCTTTTTCCTGTACAAGGTAATCTTCATGGTCTGTTTTTAACTGCAAAGACAGAAAACAAAACAAAATCTGACATGTCGACACCACATTCTTAGATCAGAAAAACATATGCCAAGGAAAAAAAGCTGTACACTGTTACTGCATTTGGATGAAGCTATAAAGGCTTTGAAAAACAATTATACTTAACATTTCTCATCAGTAAATCCCACTAGACTAAGGCAGAAAGTATCATCCTCCTTATTTAATGATGCAGAAATTAAAGCATGGGGACACAGGTATGCCTTGTGCAAGGTCACTAGTAGAACTGAAAAGAGAACATTATTTTTCAGTTCCCAGCAAATGAGCTTTTAACAAAGGCCACTGCTTCACTACCTACAAAACAAAATAAAACAAAAAAAAAAAAAGATAACATAAACAAAGTCCTTGGTAGCTCAATTTTAGGCTTTCACTATGAAATATCCATTAGGACTCTACTGTTAGGAACTGTCCCCAAGCATTATTTGGAGAGCAAAAAGAAGCCATGGCAAACTTAAGCCACCATCAAACAAATTTGTAAACATTGCATTACAGAAAGGAAGGCCACATCAATAAATATAAGAATTATCTACTCAGCTCTGGTAAGTAGCTTATGAGTTGGATGTGATGGTAAATATGGTTACAGAAAATACAGGCTACAAACCATACCACTAATGAAGGAGTGAACTGCAGCATGAAGCATTTTCCCCACTTCCATTATCTCTTCACATAAGCCATGCTTATATCTGAATGACAGTAAATCTGCTCTAACTTTAAGGCTGGGATTTCTCAGCTCTCCAAGGAAGCCTGTCCAGTTCTCTCAGCCCTCAGGAAAGCAGCCTGAGAACCATTTCCCTTTAGATGTTCCACAGAAAAGTAGGCATTTTTGTAAGCTCTTTGAGTCATAAACTCTGAACTCCTTAGTTTTCTGGTAGTCTCCTGTTAACATCTTGACAGTTAAGACAACTATAATCTACCTTTTTTTTCCCTCTTTCCCCCACCTCCACTATCTTACACAAAAAGCACAAAAAAAACCCCTACACAACACTGTTGTTAGAATTCGTTTTGATTCCCTAGTAATCATAATAAATCCCTCTGAAACCTTCAGGAAAAAAACCCAGAATTTTGAAAGGCTTTTCCCAACCTCTAACTCCCTCTCTTTTTTCTATTATAAGCTGAATATTATAAGGTTTTACACAGATACTTATTAGCGTATATGTGTTTCAAATTGGAATTCATCTGAATAAAATCAGCAGCTTAGCAGAACACAGCAGATGTGATGGGAGCAGTAAGGCTTTGGGTAAAGCTTTGCTCACTTGAGTGGATCACTGAGCTTCTGAAACTTTTGACTTGTTCAAGTCTCAGCTGCCTGATACATGGGGAACTTGGCTACTTGTGAATAAGATAAAGAAAAACCAAATATTTTGCTAATTCTATTTGACTTCCATAGAAAGAACACAGTCAGGAATAATTAAGACTTAAAATTTAGAAGAGATAGAATAAACCAAAGGTTCCAAGCAAAACCTCACCCAGGAGTAAGAGATGTGATAGCCAAAAGGTTGCATCACTCAAACATTACTGAAAATCCCATATTGAAGCATAAACTTGGAGTGTGCTGACTTCAGATTTATGGGAATGAGTATTGAGTCTGGAAAACTCCCAAATGGCATTTTAAGTGATGGCAAGAAGGACATAGGCATTTTTCTCTCCCCTCTGCCACTCACAGCTGGGCAGCTCAATGGGATTATTCTTATTTAGTGAGATTCCTGTCACTCTGCCAATCCCAGGGCATCCCACAGAAGGCACTCAGGTGTAAAACAACAAAGGTACTCTGCAGCTACACCTGAATTCCTCAGATTTGACTGCACCCTGGAATCTTTATAAGCCTCTCTGACAGCTTTGCTTCCTCATCATGTTGTATGTTCTTCTGTTATTAGAAGAAAATTTATGTAGTCATTACATTTTCACAGTTCTCAAAAAAAATTTGTGTTCATTTCAGCTCTCTGGCTAAGATGCTGGCATGCATCAAATCTCTAACAAATCCCTGGGGAAAAGGACAAAACTTCATAGCATGGCAAAAAAATGCCTTAACTCCAACTCTCAGATGAGAGGCTTTCAGAACTAAAATCAAGATGTTCTAAAATAGACTCTGTCACATTATCAGCAATCTCAAGGGGATTTTTTTTCCAGGCTTTTGTATGGAAATATGTCCTATCTCAAGAGGAGATAACTGCAACAGGTCTATATACATTAGCTGTGCTTTTTCCAATGCAGAGTTCATTTTTAAAAAGGCTGTTCTGCCTCCTTCTCACAAGATAACTGGTGATTAACAGTTCTGGCTCTGGAGAGCAATGCACAAGCAGGGCAAGAAGACACAACCTGTGTTTTCAAGACACAAATCTACACTTGCTCTGTCACCACAAAGAATCCTGACATTATTATATTGCATAACTTTTTAATGCTGATGTAATTTGTTATACTGCTAATATGTATTTACAGTACCTTCTGTACCTTACCTATAGTACCTTCTTCTTAAGATCAGCTACAATGTTTTGTGTTGCTCACTTGTAAGCAGCTACATTCACTGATCCAAAAAGTTTACAAAGGACTTTAGAATTTAAAAGCCTATGGCATTAAATGCACCAATGATTAATTAATTTCATTTTAAAGGCCAGAAATAAGAACCATTCAGAAACACTGCAAATAGCTCTGCCCCTCCAAACTTCACCTTGTTTACTTTCTCAAGCTGAATGCAGAAGCAGTGCTAATATAGGTGTGCACTCAGGGTAACAGCCAGGGATGAGAACAAATCCTGAACACTTCCTCAAGGATAATGGAGGTGCATCTGGCCTCTAATTTCATCCCTCCAAATGGTTAACAGCATGTACCAGGATCTGCTGCTGTATTCACAGCGGTGTCCTCTGTGTTTATGATCTCAGGAAGAAAGCCACTTTTATGACGTCCTGTTTTTCAAACTTCACTCATACTCTTGAGCCTATTTGGTCTTGAGAATGACTGCATCTCTGACTGCCACTCCAACATTTCTTTCATTCAAAATGATCTATTCATCTGTATTCATAAACATGTCAATCTACTGGTTCAAAAAATCCAACCAATCCTTCAAGAACAAAAGAGCAACAACAAAAACCTTCTCCTTAATCCACCTCCCTCATTAGCTAGGATTAAAAACCTTAGTCAAAATGATTGGCCTTGTGCCCAGAAAAGCTATGAGATCAATAATCCAAACAGACTTAATGATCCTCTTAGAAAAGAATAACTTTTGTACTTCTTTGGAACGCTTAGAGAAAGTGATGGGAAATGCACAAGAAGTGTCACATCATCTGCATAAGTTAATTTATGTTATTTTGAAGTTCTACAGTTGGGGGAGGTCTTTGGGATATAGTTCTTCTCTGTTAAATGACGTTTATTGTCTGTAAAAACAGTAATATGAAAAATCACAAACTGTATCAGTGATTAGCCTGTAAGAGCCTAAGAAGTTTCATTAACATTTCCAGTATCTCATTTCACTCATGAGCAGTTTAAAATTATTGTATTCCTATACAAGCTCAGTATTCTATAAGACTTTTTTTTAGGCAATTTAACTTGTTGGTATCCTTATTTTGACATTACTAATTATACCTCCAAACTTTTAATAAGTGCGACTTTTACTTTACAAATTCAAGTGTTGGTGGGAAGAGAAAGAAACCCAAACTAATCCCTACTGTATAGCACCAAGTGGTGTTATAAAAAGTCAGTGCATTTGACCAAAGCAGGGTTTAAACTCCACAGGGAATGCTTTTCTCATGGACAGGAAAAAATATCTTGGAGTAGAGATGGGCAGATACTCAGCAGGGCATGGATGTTGTATGTGGGTGTGCTAGCTGCAGTCAGCCCAGCCTGACCATTTTCTATGTGGGAATTAGCTGTTATCAGCACTCATTATCTATCCTCTCTACACTTCCTGGAAGAAAGCAGGCATATCTGTAGCCCAATTCACACCTTGTGTTGTGAGCAGGAATAAATCCCCTTTGAATGGCCTGGTATCTTTGCTGTTTACTCTAGAGACACCACACAACCAGTTTGAGTTTAAAATTTTAGTAGCTAATTTTGGCAAGATTAACTCATGCTGAAGACAGCTCACCAACATGACAGCCAAGAGTGATGTGATGGCAAGAGTGATGTCTCAGCAAGCTCATCCATTTGCTCTTGCTTAGACACAGGTTATGGCACACGGGGAATTCTGCATGGAAACTGAAACCCTCTGTGATTTTAGGCTTCTGTTCTCTGTTCAGTGAGGGGTAGAGGGAACAGCTAAGCAGAGTTTCCTCTGGCACAGCTCCCAGTAAAACCACTGGGACCAGGTGTCTCATTTGACACAGGGCACCTCAGCAATGGCAGGGCAGGAGGCAAGGATTGAGCTCAGGGGGGGAGCAGGGACAGCAGCCCCTTCAGAGCTGAAATGGGTCCTGCAGAGCTTGCTAGGGAAGGAATGGACAGCCCACAGGGACAGAGGCAAGTGGAAAGATTGGGGCATGGTAAGGGCTTTGGAAGCAGATAACAGAGGTGGGGTAGGAGCTGATAATGCTGGAGCCCAGAAAGGTGAAATCTGAGGGAAGACAGAGACTGCAGAAAGGAGGAGCACCACTGGGCATGCAGAGTGGCTCTGCAGCAGGCTTGAGGACACAAAGAAAACTTTTTCCAAAAAGTGACATTTTTTGTCACTGGGGAGAAAAAGGGAAATAAACTTTATCTAACAAAGATAAACTTTACATAAACTTTATCTAATACTTACCCAGAAAGACCCCCTCCCCCAAAAAAAACCCAGTATTCATGCTTTGGAAGTGTAGAACTCCTCATTTTCACTAAATATAATTGCATAGTTTGAACAGTGCTTCAGTCTGCACTGTTACTGTTTCTGCAAAGGTCATTAGGTTCACTTTCACAACAGAAAACTTATGAAGAAAGAAAACTATTTGCACCCCTTTTTCCTGAGGGAATAAAAACAACTTTGCTAACCTGGTTACATAATTTTCACAGTTCAACTTTTCAAACTGTGAAAGAAATTTTTTTTCAGACTCATTATCAAGCCACGACTCAGGCAAGCAGCTCTCCCCTAACAAGCAGCAGCTTCCAGGGCAGCACAGCTGAAGAAATGTGGAGACCTTCTATCCAGCAGCTGCCGACACACTTTCCCTGTTAAACAAATCTCTTTAAGTGTAACTGAAAAAAATCTTCTCTTTCACCTAGACACTCTATGAAAAGAATTGCCTAAAAGATGTCAGCTGAAGGGTATAAAAACAAACCTAAAAGATCTACAGCAATAATAATTTTTTAGCTTGCACTGGTGATGCAGAATAAAATCTAGTCCTTAAATAAATTCCACTAGGAAACCTAAGGAAATGTAAAGCAACAGCAAGCTCTGCAAAGTATGGCTGTGCCACTAAAGCAAACATCAAAGTACTGAGACTAAAGAACTAAACCCAAACAATATAATGTTACTAAAAGAATCAATTCCATACCTTTGTTGTTTGCCAGCACTAGAACACTGAAAACACTTCTGCTGAAAAAATTAGCTTTTTTTTCTGAGGGAATAAACCTTTGTAAGTGGTTCTTGCTCACTGGAGAATAATTAATAACAATATCCTAGCTGCTGCCAGATGTAACATTGTACTTGCTCTGCAGGCAATACTAAATTCATACCTGGAAAGAGTTAATAACTTTAAAATAATACTTATACTTTTCTCAAGGTTTCAGTAATAAATGCTTTTAATTACCCAGGGGAAGGAGCCATAATAAGACAATCAGTACTGGAAGCTTTCAAGCAAGTACCTTGCTCAAAGATGGATGTAATTCCAGTCAAATGTTCCAAGTTCAACTAAAGTGATACCATTTCACCTCCCTCTTGATGTGAGACCATTTTGAAGACTGATTCTTCAGTAGTTCCTTGTAGCACTTCAATTTTAAACCTGATCTAATGAACAGCCATAGATGCTATGGATTCTAAACATAAAGAATTGACATGTTAGCATATTAATGTACCCAAATGTCACATAAATCATTAGAAGGCATTTTACTAAGTGACTCAGATATCTGGCAAAACACATGCAAAGCCTCTTTAGCTCTTAAATATAAAGCAACTTCCTTTTGGCAAAGTCCTGATTAGAACAACATTGATTGTAGTTATTTATAGCTTAAATGCTATTGCTGACAATTTCTCCAAGTTGTAGATACTGTATTATTAACTATAGCAAAGCTCTAAAAATCAGTCAGCAGAGGCCACTTCAATCTCTGCATGATAATAAAGGATTATTATGTGCAGTAACCTATTTATGAAAAGGAAACAGTGTGCTTCTTTCAGACCCCATCAATTGCTTTAATAAGGAATTGAAAAGCCTGGCCTACTTTATATGCAGATCACCATCCCAGTTGCATAAGGATTTAGAACAGACAAAACAAAACTGTTTTTGTTGTAAATAAGGGCTGTTTGTTTAAATTGCACAATAATGTTTGCATCTAAAAATTATTTAGAAGCTAATAAGGTTTAATAAAGTTTGACTGTATACTTGTTAATAAAAATGGTTTCAATATTCTCCATGAAGGAAAAGCAAATTGAAGGTGATAACATAAAGCTTGAAGCAAAACAGGCCTGAGTTAATGGGAAAGGAGAAGACTCATTGCATTTGTTCACTGATGGGCTTAAGAAAACCAGTGCTGAGAATGGAATTCAGTTAACTTAAAACATTTTATAACATTTAAGACAGTGAACTTAAAGGTGATTTTCTCTAACAGATTAGAATTATTGCAGTATTACTTCAGCTTTAGAGACAAAAAGCACATATAATGACACAATTCAGACTACCAAAAGTTAGTGGGATGCACATACTGATTTCAGTTGGAGGACTCTGGAGTCCGGGGTTCAAATTTTACCTTTGGCATTGGTTCATCTGCCTGTATGTTAATAAATTTAATGAGGTGTGGGATGACCCCTGCTGGTGTCCCTGCTTATGAAAAAAATATGTATCTGGCAAGAAGAGGACATGTTAATTTCAGTTCAAAAAGTTACAAATATAAACTCTGTCCCAAAATGTATAAAAATACCTAATCCAATGCATAAAATATTATGAGTAATGTTCTGTTAAGTATGAAAATAATCTTAAGCCATTGAACATTACTGTGTTAGAGCTGCAATGCAATGTATTAAGAAGGACATTAATTGTTCAGTTCACTATGGCATTGTGTTAAACATCTTTTATTAATGAGCTGTTATTCCCGGCTGAGGCATTTGATAACCTCTAGTCCATTGCTAAATTCTCTCAGTTGATTTCTGTGAGTCACTCTAAACAAACCTAGAGGGAAAAAACACCCCAATAATTTACATTTGAGTCTGTAAGGTCCTAGAACTAGAGTCATTTAAAGAAGGGCAGCTTTCCTATAAATCAAACCTTCTGATTTAATGCAGCTGACATATAGATCTATTTTACAATTTTTTTTTAATTTCAAAAATACAACACATTAAAATAGGTTCAATTTATCAAAGCTAAGAGCAACAATTAAGTAATAATGTACTTAAAGTGCAAAGGCACTTTAACACAAAAAAGTGACGCCCAGTGGCTATAGTTGGTAATTGAAACAGCAGTACTGTATATTATTATTTACAAAAGAAAGTCATAGTCCAGGAAAAAAGATCTTTGGAGATCTTCTACATAATACATTACGTTTCCATTTTGAAATAAAAAGAAAAAAAAAAACCAGAAATCCCAAAGACCCCTTCCTCATTTCCTTCAAAATCAAAAAAAATTATGCAAGATCTATTTCAGAAAGATACATTTGCAATGACAGTTCTAGAGAAGGGTCAAAAGGAGAGAGATATAGAAATAACTTAAAGGGAACGTTGTAAAAGAAACACCACATCCCTGCTATGCTGCAAGGGTTCCTTTTCTCTCTCATTCCTTCTCTGATTTTAAAAAAGTGGAAATGTTGGGAATGCGACAGATGACATCAGTACTGAGTTCAGACTCAAAGAAATATGATGCTGAGCTCATTTAAAAAATTTTCTTTTGTCTCCCACCTCCCCCCTCACAGCTGACTGATTGCAGTTTGTTTTTCCAGAACTTCGAGGTAGTCTGGTTCTGTTTGTAGCTTTCCTTGGAGTAAAGGATGCTCAGGTTTAGACTGTTCTGCAAAATATTTCCTGGGAGTTCCATATAAAACAGTTTTATTTATCCTGTCCTGATTTTGGCGTCTGGATTCATATGAAGGGGCAAACTGCCTTTTGGGTAAGGTACAAAAGTTATAATGAACTAATCCTCCGGTGGGGAGTTCCTTGACCCTTTCTGCAATATTTTGATACAGGAGCTCTGGTTCCCTTGGTGAGGACTGCTTTTCCAGCAATTCAGCTGCACTGATGGTAAATGCAAGACTGGTGGGGTCTTCTTTTTTGTGGTCAAGGCTGCTATAGCTAAACTCATGGAGATTCCTGTAATAGGCAACTGGATCCCCTTCCTTTTGCATGTAGATTGGGTTTTGGCACATCTGTCCAACAGGAGGGGGAATGTAGTTATAAACATGTCCTTCAGTTTTATCGTGGGTCTCAGTGTTGTAAGACCCATACTGGAGCTGAAATGAACTTATATCTACATTGTTGGCACTGGTGGGCATGCTCTGCACCCCCTTCCGGCGCTTAAGGACAAAGACAAACAGACCTGCCCCAAAACAAACTGACAGGATAAACACAACCAGCAAGCCTAAAATTAGGACAGACAGCGGAACTTCGGTGTGTAATTCTGGGTAGGAGCTGGGTGAGGCACCGACATGGGGGGTATCAGTGTTCTGGTTCATGGAGAGGAGAGAAGAATCGGACAAGTTGGGGTTCTCCGGGCAGATGGCTTCTTTGCTCAGGAATTTCAGATGCTCTCCAGAGTGCTTGGTAGGAGACTCACAGATTACTTCATTGATAACTACAGGGGGATTTGACTGCTGGTTGTTCTGGTCAGTGACTTTCTCTATCCAGTTCCTCAGCCCCAGGATGTCACACGTGCAGTCCCAAGGGTTCTCTTGGAGGTCTATCTGAATCAGAGCCGAGAGCTGGTCCAAGACTCCTCTCACAGGCAGGTATGAGAAATGGTTGTTCCTAAGGTTGAGCCTGGTGAGGGAAGTGCCTCCAAAGACATTATCAGGCAAGGATCTGAGCAGGTTGTTATTGAGGAACAACAGATGAAGATTGCTCAGAGCATCAAATGTGCGTGGCAGGATCTCCTTGATGACATTGTACTCTAGGTAGAGATATTGCAGGCTGTGCAGCCCTTCAAACATGGATCGGTACAGAACCTCAAGGTAGTTGCCATTAAGGTAAAGCCTGCGTAAACTTGTGAGGTTTGTAAAGGCACCTTCTTGTATCACTGCAATTCTGTTATTTCCTAGATGTAGCAAATCCAGCGAGCTGTACTCTGTGAGATCGGTTCTATAAATGACTTGCAGATAGTTACTGGTAAGGTAAAGTTTCTTTGGACTGGTCGGCCTGGGGTGCAGATCAGAGATGTTACTTATCTTTTTCTCTTGGCAGTTAACATTTAGGCCATTGTCTGAGCTCTGGGACGTACAGATGCAGCCAGCTGGGCAGGTGATGGGCACAGGAGACTTTGTCTGGTAAACCATGATAGGTCCAAATATTTGCCTGTCTTTCGACACAGAGACACGGGGAGTGGGGCGGTTCCTAGTTTTGGGTGGCCGGCTGGCTTTTGGGGCCCTGGTGGGATTGATGGCAGAGTTGGCCGTGGGCGATAGCCTTGAGACGTGTGGGTCTGAGAGGACAGGGTGTTTTTCCCTCTGGTTTGAATCACTGGAGCTTTTCCTAGGGCAGAGATCTTGCCTGGTGAGCTGGGTCACATCTTTCCCATGAAGCCTGAAGGGGGTTTCACAGACTATCTCGCCCACAAACACGGTGATGGTGTCTAGCCAGGCCTTGAGTGGCAGCAAGTCGCAGGTGCAGTTCCAAGGGTTTTCCTCCAGCTGGATTTCCATGATGCCTCCAATGTGCTCCAGCACACCGGCAAAAGGCATCATCTTCAGCCGGTTGCCCCGCAGGTCGAGGTGAGTGAGGAGCACAAAGCGGAAGACATTGCTGGGCAGGGACAGCAGGAGGTTGTCATTGAGGATCAGCACCTTGAGCTTGTTCAGCTTGCTGAATGCCCCCGCTTCAATGGCACTGATGTAATTGTAATCAGCCTGCAGGTACTCCAGACTCTCCAAGCCCAGGAAGGTGTCTTCCTTCAGCACTTCCAGCTTGTTGTTGTTGAGGTGCAGCCTCTTGAGGGTGCGGAGGCCGCTGAAGGCCCCCGTGCGGATCTCCTGCATGTCGTTGTTGCCCAGGTGCAGGGTCACGGCGTTGGAATAGTTGACGAACTCATTGGGGAACAGGCGGGTCAGTGCGTTCCCATTGAGAAACAGCTGGTAGATCTTGGACGGGGGCGGCAGGAGGAGGCTGACGGTTGTAAATCCCTTGTTTTCACAATTAATGTTCAGCACGTTCTCCTTCTCCTCGCAAGGGCAGCGGCTCTTGCTGCAAATGTCTTTGGCAGGTTTGCGACTCTCTGTCCACGAGATCCCAGCCACTGTTAACAAACTGAGCAACCAAGCACCCTTCAGCATCTTTATGCGCCGTCGATCCCCGCTTTGGTACCTACAGTCAAACCTTTTGAGACAGGTAAGGAGAGAAAGAAGAAATCCCCAGTGAACACTGCCGGGAGCAGGGGCTGCACGGGGAGAGCGAAAGCAGGTCGGAAGGCTGGGAAGGAAGGGGAGCTGCAAGGCAGCGACTTCCAAACTCCTCTGGAATTCCCCCCCCCCCCTCCCTTCTTTTGCTCTCGGAAAGCGCCTGCGGAGCCGCTGCGGGGGAAGCCCCGTCGGGGAGCTCCCCAAACCCGGGTCCCTAGCGCCGGGCTCTCCGCCCGATCCCCCGCCCGTCGCGGCCGCCGCCTCCGCCCCGGCGGCCGCCGGCAGCACGATCCCGATCCCGTCCCCGCTGCCCGTCCCACGGCCACGGCGCGCCCGGCTCCTGCCAGCATCTTAAACCGGGGAACACACGGACTGCCAGCATCTTAACCCGGGTAACACACGGACTGACAGCGTCTTAACCCGGGTAACACACGGACTGACAGCGTCTTAACCCGGGGTTCACACGGACTGACAGCACGCCCTCCCCGCCGCAGCGGCGCCCCCAGCCCGCGCTCCCCGCGCCGCCCCCGCGCTCGTACCTGCTCTCGGGGCGCCCGAGGGGGCAGTGGGGGCAGCGCCCGCCGCCGAGAGCCGCCGCGCCCCGGGAGCCAGGCGCCCGGCGGCGAGCGGCATCGCCCGCTCACGCCTCAGCAGGAGCCCAGCGGGGCGCCGCCGTCCCGTCCCGTCCCGGCCGGGCCCGTCCCGGCCGCGGCTGTGCGGGAAGTTGGGCCGGGCGCGGGCCGAGAGCGGCGGCGCTGCGGGAGCGCGGGCAGTGCGCGGGGCGCGGCGCGGCGCGGCGCTTTTGCCGGGTGCCCCGCGCGGAGCCGCGCTGACGTCAGCCGGGGGCGGGGGGGACACGTTTTACCCAGCCCCCCTGTCCCAGTCGCCGTCCCCCCTTCCCTTGGTGGCTCTCGCAGCCGGCTCCGCTCCCGGCTCGGCCGCTCTTCGCGGGAGCGCTCTGACAGCACCTGCAGGACAGCGCGGGCACTCGGAGCCGGGAAGGGGAATAAGGTAACGAGCGGATTTACCTGGGTCCGGAGAATTCTTGGCCCCGAGTCCCTGAATCCGCGCCCTCAAAACAGAGAGCAAGTCAAGCAGCTCCTTTGGCAAAAGCCAGCCGGCACCGCGCACGCACCGCACACACACGCACACCGCACAGGGACACACGCAGAGCCCGCACACATCCTCCGCACACGCCGCACAGACGCGCACATCGCACATCACACATCTCACACATCACACACATGCACAATCTGGCTCTCCGAGCAGCGGTGCTGCAAATCCTGATCTGGCATCAGCATGGATCCCCCGCTCCGGCTGGAGCAGCCAGCCCCCTTCCCAAACTGCCGTGCCGAGCTCTGCCCTGCACATTGGTGTTCTGCACGTTCAGGGAAGTTCAACACCTTCCACCAAACCGGGCTGCCAAGCAGCGGCAGTCCCAAGCCTGAACCCCTGCACCCTCTGGAACGCTGCCCCGAGTACTGAACAGCCAGATTTAACCACATCTAACACCATCATTCCCACTGGCTGGATTAGCCCCACTGCCCCATTGAAATGTTGTGGTATAGCGTTTGGCTGCCTTTAAAAAGAGCAAGATGTTGGATCTGGGTTATTGTGACTTTGCTTAAGCTCCATGCCCTGGGCACAGATCTATGTGATGGGAAAGGATGGCTGCTCTTGGTCTCTATCTAAAGGTAAAACTTTGGGTTCACACTGTGGGGAGGGGACAAAAAGGCACTCTACAGGGAATTTTTAAAGTGCTAGCAGGGCAAGGTGCATTATTGCCAGATTCTTATAGGGTATTATATGCACTTAGTCTCTAGAATATAAAGGTTTGCTGCCAAAAGAGTTCTGAAATTGGCAAAAGTGGTACTGTCATCTCGTGGTATTCTTTAGCCATTATGTATCAGAGCCCACATTTTAGGAGCAGCAGAAATGTACTGACTATTTTTATCTCTCTTCTTGAGGCTGGAAAAGGTAACATCCTGCAGCAGCCAGCACAGATGCCTTTGCAGTGCTCCTGGACAGGAATAGTGCTGGAGTTTGCGTTTGGGATTGAAACAGTTGCAGTTTTCCTATCTAAAATTTGGAGAGGTTGTGGCAAGAGCAGGAGCATCCCACACTGGAGCACACTTTTGGTGCGGTGCTGTGTGAATTTCAACAAGATTGGGATTCTGAAATGCACTCAGAGCTGCTCCTTTCCAACTCTTTATCCAGCTGAATTCAGGAGCGAAAATTGCTAAGATCAGGAAAGATCTGTGTGGCAGATCTGCTGTTTTACAACACTAATACTCCAGCTGCCAGATTATTATTCTGTGAGATTTTTTGCTTGTTTTCTGCTCTAAACATGAGGATATGGTGTTTGGGGAGCAAAATTGGACTAGTTACAGGCTGTAGCAAATCCTGTTTTCAGCTCTTTCTAACACAGTCTGGGGGCATGAGCCTAAAAAGAGAAGGTAAAAGGAAACCCAGGTTGTTTTTTTTTTTTTGTTTTGTTTTCAGAAAGGAGCATATTCATACATACCTGGCCCACACAGGGGCACAGAGAGGCTCCTGTAACCTCCCTCCATCACATCTCACCTGAGCAGCCCAGCACAGCACTGCCAGCTCTCACAGGGCTCGCTCCAACATAGCAAAAATGAAGGCACAAGTAACTTCAGTGCATTTTTCCCTTGTCTCAGAGTGTACATTTATTTTATGTCCATGAGTTTCTGCCAGGTGCAGCTTTCTGGTGAGCAAGGACCATGTCCTGGAACTGGCTTATGAGGCAACGTGCACTATCCCACTTGCTTGTGTTTACTGATAGGTGGGAAATGTGTTTGTGGCACTGCTGATGCTGCCTGGGAAGGGAGAGCGTACACATGGCATGCCTCAGCAGTAATTACCAGATTCATGTGGGATGGAAGGAACAGCATGTTAGGGGATTGCAACAGTAATAAGACACAGAGATGATACTGATTCTATTACACTGCAAATGCATGCATATAATAACCATGGTTGTAGGAGGAGGAACAAGGATTAAAAAAAAAATAATAGCTTCAGCTTTTTATTTAGGAACAAAGTCCTGATTTCTCAGCATGCCTGAAGTGTTTTATAATCCCTTCAATTAAAAACAGAGTGTAAAAGAACAGCTTTTTTCCTCCACCTGTTTTAAGGCCTTTTTATTTTATACGTTGAATGGAGGAACATTTCTAGTTTGTGACTATCTGGGAGCCTCCAGGGATAAAAGGCCAGGAGGCAGGTTGGTACAGCAGCCCATGAGGGCTTGGGCAAACTCAAGGTTATGTCTGATTTGTAAGCATTGTGGAGGTCCCAAATATTTAGTTGTGTTCCCTCAATGCTCCTTTTTGTGCAGAGTCATGAGAACTCAGTACAGTTGCATAGGTTATGAGACTTAATAGAACCATTGTGGCTTTTGAATCTTGCATAACCCGGGCCATCAGCTAAATTTGAATTAATTCCTGTTCAAACTAGATCATACTTCATAGGAAAAAGAAAAAAAATGAAACCCAATAACATAGCCAGGCATATTTTAGCAATTGCCTATGGTGAAAATCTGCCATCATGTTCAGTAAATTGTTCCAATAGGTTTCATCCCCCACAGGTAAAAGACTGGGCTTTCTCTACAACTCTGCATCTAACTGTCTTCAGTTGGAAATGTTTATCCTTGTAATATCCTTGTCTGCTGTCTTAAGAGCCCTTAATTATCCCCTACCTGTTTCCCATGGGGACACTCCCAGACAGCTGCAGAGCAAGTATGAACTGAATACTTGCCTGGTGCCAGCCTTAACCTGCTTCAAGCAGTCTGTCAGTCCTGTGCTCCTCCATACACCAGTGCAGCTCTTGGCTCCTGCACAGTCCTGAAGCCACCACTTTATCTGTCTGCTGGCAGGGGAAAAAAAAGCCAGACCACAGCATGAAGCATAAGCACATAAAATTTGGCACAGATCATTACCCTTCCTGCCTAGTGCACATCATGCTGTTGTCCTTCTGGGAGAGTAAATATCAAGGAGAAGAAAAAGTCTGGAAAAATGTGGAGATAATTTTCTTTCTCCACATTGTATCTGCAGGTGGATACTAAATACTACTTACACATCTTTACCTGTCAGTTTTTCTGGGTTTGCTTCTCTGTATATAAATGAAGGAATAAACGTATGCACCAAGTCTTATGGAATAAAGAAATGAAGGCAACAAGAAACAAAGCAAAACTCTGTGAGTTGGATGGAGGGTAGGATATAAGTCTTACTGGTCATTAGAATCTATTAAGGTAGCCTGGATGCTGCTGGCAAGTAAAGAAATGTTTATTCACATACTATAAGTAGAAGCCAATATTGATTTCTGTGGACACAACATGATGGGTGATGCAGTAAGACAATGGGAATTTGTAAATGTAGGTGTTTGCTGATCTCATATGTTCCTCATCCTGTAATCCTGAACTGCACATGAGATGCCTACTCCATGTAAGCTTTTAGGGTTCTGAGGTAATCATCACTGCTCTTCAGCAATATCTTGTATTCTGGCTTTCTCTGTGCATGTGTGTATCTCCATGTAGCTGGAGATATTCTACTTCCATAACTATGTATATTTTTGTGGTCTTTCCTATACTGTAAAGTGAATTTTTGACCATCACTTAAAAGGAATTCTTAAGGAAATAAACAGTTCCCAGATTTAGCAGTGAACAGTATGCAAAATAATTGTTACTTGTAATCCACAGTTTCATCTCATCCAGCAGCACTGGGAAGTGCAGTAAAGGACAGGATGAAAGAGGAGTCTCTGGCTTCTCCTTTCTTTGGGCAAGGAACAAGCAGGGGAGGGTGAAGGAGGGTGAGCATGAGAGGCAGGGAGGAAGGAGAGGCAGGGAGGAAGGAGAGGCAGGGAGGGCAGCCTGTGCCCTCCTGGCCCTGTGTCCATCCGGGGCTGCCCAGCCACCGCCCCATGTGCCGAGGGAGGCAGAGGAGGGAGACCCTTGGGATGAAGCCTTGGTGGAAGGAGAGCTGCTGGATGAGGCAGTGTGAGGGCAGAGGGGCACTCCAGACTGGGTCTGCTGAGTTCCCTTTTGCTGGCAATCAGTGACTGCCTGTGCCATCAGCTGTAAGGAATTTCTCTGGTTTCCAGATGTGCTTTTTAGCTCCATTTCTCCCAACCATGCAAACATATGGAGGGCTGGCCTACTTCAGAGTACTGTTCACTGACACTTCATGATTGCCTATTGTAAAAATGAAAGAATTTAATGAACTATGACTTTAAATGATTGTGCTTTCTAACTCTTCCCTCAGTTTTTGCTTCCTGCAAAGACTCAGACCCTGGCCAAGGTTAGGCATTTTTGAGACCCGTTATCTAACTCCAACATGATTTTTTTGCAAGGAGAATACATCATTATTTGTTTCAATAGATCTGGGGTAATCTGTTTCATAACAGCACAGTGTGATTCCACCCTGGTGGTAAAAACTGCAACAGCAGAACTACCAGCCTCTGATTTTTTGTATCATTAATCCTGACTGTCTTAAGAAGAGAATTTAGTGTGTTATAATGGCAGAAATAATGGTTTCAGCAGGAAATGTGATAAAGAAGCTGTCTTTCAGAAGGCATCCCTGGTAGCCTGTGCTTTGGGGATACTGACAGACTCACCACTGTGCAATTAAGAATTGATCATTACTTTAGATTTACCCCAGTTTTTTTCTTTCTTGCCTAGAAAAACAAATATCCACTCGCACCTTTTATCATAGGACCCAGCAGAGCACTGAGACAATTAATATTTATGGATGTCTTCATCCTATTCAGGAAAGTAGTATGTCTGATCCAAAGCCCTTTGGTGTCAGTGGAAGGACTCCGACTGATTTCAGTGGGATTTGGATCAGATCTTTGAACAAATACTTAGCTTCAAAGTCGGCACTTAGGTTTTATTGAGTGCTTTAAATATTTTTGGAAGTGCTTTGTTTCATCATGTCAATGGCTCTTTTTCTCTGATAGGAACAACGAGATGAATCTTCCTGATGATAGATATTCTGTGCTGGCATTGCTGAGCAACAAGAACAAAAAAAAAAAAAAAAAGAAAAGTGTGGGGTTTTATGGTTTTATTTTCCCATCCTTAAAACAACAATGGATGTGTTATTTATTGTGTTTCAAATGTGTGTCCACAGTAATTTCTAC